TTTGATGACTGGGTAGAGTCGGAAAAGTCTTCAGAAGAACTGGTGAGTTGTTCCAGCGCGTTGAGGATATCGTCGATTGCGAACGTCTGTTGCATCTCGCCATGCGCAAGAAAAGCCCAGATTAAGCGTTCCGCCATGTTCGCTTCGTCTACGCCATTGCCCCATTCGGAGGCCGGCTCTCTAACTGCATCCAGAATCCTCCGGGCAATTTCCACAGTCTCTTCCGGGAAGTTGAAAACGATTCGAGTCCTGCCCACCCTTCTGGCCCAGAACCGTAGCACGTACTTGCCCGGAAGCAAGGACAGGTTCGTCATATAATCTTTCTGCTCCCAGTCCTGGAGAGACTTGTCAATCTCCTTATATCTAAACCTGCTTCTAGACGTCGAATCCCGATAGTTCGGCACCCACGACGGGCTGGGGCTACCCAGGATATTCCCATGGGGCCCGTTATAGAAATGAAACATGTTGAACACGAAATCTACCCCCTCGTAGACCAAAATCCAGAGCGTGACTTGGAGCGCCACCTCGTCCGCGGTATATTCGTAATCGACGGGGTACTTCTTCTGGACGCCGTCAACCATCGAGTACAGCGCGTAGAAGCGGTCGAGGGGATTGTAGCATTGGCGCTGGGCGGTCAGATCGAGCACATCCGCAAAGGACGACAGACCTTTGCGGCTGGCTGCGATATCGTGCGCAAAGTCCTGCATAGGATTTGACTGCGCGAGGCGCGTCTGCACTTCCTTCAGGCGGCTCTGGAGCTTCCGGTGGTTTTCGATGTCGGCTGCATCGCCCGCGCGCGGAGCCACCTTGTCGAGGTTCTCTATGAACGGAGCCAGAACCCCCGGAAATTGTAGACCCAAATCGACTAGCGAGGGGAGGGTGAAGGGGATGTTGCCGACCATGCACACGGGGAGCTTCTCGGGTAGATAGTACTCCTGGAAGGTCCATATGCGTCCCCAGTACGGCGCCGAAACGATGTCCAGAAAGCCCTGGACAGCGTCTAGAATAGATCCAATCGTGTCGCGCCGGTTCTTCTGGCTCCACGGCCGCGTAATCTGCCGTACGTCCTGGAGGATTCCCGCCAGGCTGCTTTCTCTTCGCTTAATCATCGACATTGTCTGTTCCATGTTGGGATTTATTGGTCCGAGCCATGCAACGACAGAGGTCGCCTCCTTGTAGATACGGCCCATGAGAGGGAGCTGGGTGTTCTTTTCTTTGACGTTGTTTTGATCGATGCAGATGAAGTCAATCCAGATGAGGCGCTTCTTCCGGGAATATCGAAGGCATTTCAGCGCTGCCTCAAGGTTCGTTGTGACCTGAAATGGGATGTCGTCCACTAAGATTTCCACCTTTTCAACAACATTTCCCCACACATATGAGAGAGCCTCGAATTGGGGTGGGTTGTTCAGTGACACGGTTTGCAAAGTGCATCTCACTGGGTCCTTTCCAATTTTGTCGGGTAGGATAGTGAGAAGGCGAATTTCTGCATTCTCGGGATTGAGAGGAGAGTAGGAAAAGGAGTCCGAAGGATGATCCATTGGAGCAGACAGGCCTTCTAATATATGCAGGTCTAAGTACGATCCGGTGAGATGTGAAGATGTTTGAGATGGAGATGTAGACATGTTTAACATTGTTGGCTGTCCGAGCGCTTTGACCTTGTGGCTTAAAGGGCTGTGAAGCCCCATAGTCAGCTTATACCCAAAGGCTGGGCTGCAGAACCATACAAGTGCCGCCAGATGGTCTAGCGTGGATTTAGTGCTGAGGGCCACTCCCATACGTTCCCATATTATTCAGTTGCTAGCGTGGCAAGTATAAGTCGCATGAGCGCTTACATCTCAGCAAGACAAAGAAGTTTAAACCTTCGGTACACATAGTCTATAGTTATTCCAGAAAATAAAGACATGTTCTGTGCTAGATTGATCTTTACTTGGGGATAGAGAGCAAGAGCACCATGCAGAGATGCATTATGGAATTTGATCGCAAGACCAGGAACTACAGATGCAACTGTCCCAAACATGACAATCAACCATACGCCAAGACAGAAACCGCGCTTGCAAAAATGCTAGCAACCCATCACACCCTTGATGAATGATACCGAACGAAAATTGAGGATTTGGGGACTTTGTATCTGTGGTGTGCTTCTTCCGTCTTCGGTTTCCCATTACATTCGCTTCTTTCTGCTTCCATTTTCTCTACATAACTATGGCTTGTTAGGATGGGTGTGACAGAATGTCAGAATTCTGATATCGGAGACGCGTTTTTCTACTGGTTTCATCGAACGCACCGGACGTTGATGCCGCCGTCCATGGTACCATCCATGTTGGAGTGAAGTACGAAGCCTATGTATTTCCAATTCATTGAACTATATTCCTCCAGCCCAAATAAACAAGCACATACGACCATAGGGTGTGGAAAACAGGGCTTCCCGTCCGCTCAGCCGTACTTAAGCCACATATTGAACGCGCTAAATTCTTAAAAAGCCTTCCTCCCCTGAAAAAGCGACCTTACGATTTTAGTGTGGGTGCTGGTGATGTGGGTGAGGACTTTATTGCTCCTCACCACTCTGGAAGATGGCTCGTGAGTGGTGATGAGAGGTGGTGATGAGGGTTCGCGAGTGGTGAGGAAGGACACCTTTACCAAGCAAATCGCACGCTAGGCCACCGATCCGGCTGCTGTTAAATAGGCTGAGAGCCCTGTTGTTGAAAATGAAGTTTTTCGGTTCCTATCTCATTCAATCTTTACTAAATTGTCTACCGGCACCCGAGCTCGCAACTGCACGTGACGTCACATGACCATGTTTTCAGAAATTGACAAAGAGCGTCTGGAGAAAGTGGTCAGAGAGCGGCAGAGGCTTGCCGAGTCACGTGGATATACTTCTATTAAATTATATGACCGCTTGCCCGATTAGGAAGACAACGAGTTGGCGCAGCACTGCCACCTTTGGCAGAATATTCAGTAGCATTTCGATCGTTCGAATAGCTTCAAATTCCACCACTATCGAAAGGGATAAATAGTAGCTAGATAGTCATTCGTTTAGAAGAACCACACCTTCGTTGATTTTCAATTGGCCATATAAATTACTAGTGATCCATGAACGTTACTACCTTAGCAAATTTAACACCTGCCAAGCCTCCTTTCATAACCTGTAGTTCAACTTCCTTACAAGGGGAATTATCCCCACGCCTTACTAATATTGTAAGTCATACGGCCAGTAAGGTCTGAAGCCCGTCCTCGAGGAATACCTGGGTGTCTATGTCCCGGACGGATTTAAGCATGTGATTTGAACACATACGAGGTCGGAGGTGCTAGACAAGAGGGCGGGGATGTATGCCTGTGTATTGATGACCCGTCTGATAAGATCAGACGTATAAACGCTGGGACATCCGACCAGGTATGCCAGACTGTGTATCCCAAGGACGAGCGCAAGACTGCCTTCTTCTACTGAATGCCCTCAGTATGCTTAAACAGCCTCAGGCACACAGGGGCAGATCTAATCTACTCCGCCTAAGTATCCTTGCTCTTTCCAGCAATGTATGATTATAATGACAGTCTCGGTTAGCCCCTTAGCGAAAGTATGCTTGAGCATGAGCACAATTAACTTCTTCAAAGCAGACATTAATCGAATGCACGAATACGTATGGGCGTTACTGATGCTCGGCGCGCCTGTCTATGTGATATTGCTGCCTGCCAACAGACATTGGGCCGACTACACCGGCTGGTGATTCTGCCCTGAAATCGGAAGGGTATTGACGTATGACGCAAATCTCTCTGCTCCCGAGATCAGTCCCAGAAACTCTAGTACAAACCTCAGCAAAGAGCAGAATAACGCCTCGCAGAATAATGACTTGAAGGTTTCTCGTTTCCTAGGTTTCTCGTTTCCTTAAAGTAGGGATAATATTGCGGACGGAAGTGTATACTTTCCGTCGTTCCGTCCGCTGCCGCTCCAATCAGCCCAACACTTCAAGGTCGATTTTGTTAACCGTCATCACCAGATTTGCATCTCAAAAGCATTTTAATATAATATTCACTGAGCAATATCGAATGCCAACTATCCATATGACGTCTCATCCATATACCATTACGAACACTGCCGGTTCGGTTAGAATCCTAGAGCACATATTACCTGTACAAGCATCTATAGCGATATTCCCAGATAGCTGCGCTTTATTCCTTCCATTCGTAATAAGAAAATCGCAGTTCGTAGGGACTACAAATGCTAGAGACCCTCACCACTCACACAACTTCTGAGTTTGCCACATCGGCGAGGTCTGGGCTTGCCGTAGCAGCATTTTGTGCGAGAAACTGTAGTTTCCTGGTCTATCCAAGCTTTCGCTGCAGGGTTTTGGCGTCAAAAGTGTGCTGACTGTTCTTTTGGTCTCTGGACCCAGGTAATCAAACGATCCGCTTTCTGATCTTCCGACTTTGACCGTGCTGCGGCATACCGCACAAATCTACCTAAGGCTGTCGCTGATAACTGTATGAGCTTTAGCTGGATCGGGGAGATCGAACTCCTACATGAGCTTGACAAAATTGCTTTTGGAAACAGAGTTGGGTTTACTATTTACGGAGTTTATCAACGCAATTGCTGCCAGGGAGTCGCAGCAGATAGGTATACAGCAGAATAAAACATGTATGTAATGCATTTTCATGCGAGGACAAGCAATGATTATTTGTACCCTGGAGTTACCCTAGTCCGGCACGCCGTTGTTACATGCTTCTGTCCAGCTCGGTGCTACTGTTCCGTTACACTAGATCCTAGGTCCAATAAAGCCGCGTATCCCAGTATAAGCATTTTTGGAGGTTTCGGACGGATTTCCACTGTAGTGATCCGGAGAATCCGCACTGAAATCCCGGAGTCCGTTCATGTTCCATGGCCGAGTTGTTATGACTGCAAATTACAAGCATAAATCAAACTTAAGAAAGGTTTTTTTCCCCCAAGTCGTCCTTTCCATAAAAGAGCTGCTTGTTAACAAATATTCACATTCCCTGTACTAGATTCCATGATGCATATTCACTTCCAACCGTACCCTGGCTTAGCGGACGCCCTTGGACGGGCAGATCTCGGGGACCTGTCTGTTCTTATAACCGGTGGCGGACATGGTATCGGGTTTAACATAGCGACATCGTTCGCCGAGAAGGGTGTAAAGCACATTCTGCTCGTAGGACGTACGGAATCACGATTGGCGGAAGCAGCCAAAAAGCTCTCCTCTATCTCTATCAAGAGGACGTCCGTCAGCTACAAGGTCGCAGATCTTTCTTCAGAAGATGAGATCCACCGGATTTTTGAAACTCTCGATGTCTCGCCCGATATTCTCGTTAACAATGCTGGATACATGCCTACGCCCGAGCCGTTCCTCAACGCTGATATGTCGGAATTCTGGTCTGGCTTTACGATAAACGTGCTCGGTACTGCCCTCCTTACACAGGCATATCTGCATCATCGTCTGGAAAAATTGAAGGTTCCAATCAATGCGCTGCCCGCAGTAGTCGTGACTCTCAATACAGCTGGTGCATATGGATCCGCGGGGCATGTGCCGAATCTCTCGGCTTACGTGGCGAGCAAGGCCGCTCTTGCGCGGTGGTCGGAAGCTATGTCTGCTGATATTGACAGTCAGGTCGCTCGATTCATATCCGTTCACCCCGGTGCTGTCGCGACTGACATGCTTGCGAAGTCTCAGTTGGGCGGGGTCTACCCGTCTACAGAAGGCAAACTAGTTGGAGATTTCGTCGTCTGGGCTACTACCGAGGAGGCCAAGTTTCTTGCTGGGAGGTTTGTTTGGGCGAATTGGGATGTGCAGGAGCTGCTTTCTCTAAGAGATCATATTCTGTCGAAAGATCTCTTTGTGACGAGCTTGGCGGAATAGTAGGTCCTCGGTACAAGTCCCTGTCAATTGCCAAACTGAACTACTGTCTTTTAAATAATCCCTGAGGTGATAAACACGGGCGGTCTAGTGGGGAAGGGCAAGCTGGAATGCATCCGTTTTGATGCTTCTATCCTCGGATATGGCAAATTCCTGTCAAATTTTTCCTACTACAGTCTCTTATTCCACGTTATTCCTTGTTTGTCTGTCGCATGGGTGCTTTGTTTGCCAGATATTGTTAGTCTCTCAGTCATTGTCATCAGGATAATAGTATGACGAGGAGTACAGATACAATCAAGTTATATGATTATCTCCCATACATATCAATTGACAAATGATAATATCAGCCAAATTGATAAATACCATTCTCAGGTAAGTCATCCAACCAGGAGCTCACTCGGGACTCTAGAGCTAGGAAAGCTCCTCCTCGCTGGGATTTCGTACAGCGACAGCTATTACTAGGGAGATAAAACAAGGAGAATCAGAAATAGTAAATGCAATTTATTTCAGAGTATGTACTGACAGTAACTAAACTGGTAGATGGGGTGAGACTCCAGCTCTGTAGAACTGGATCCTAGATGCCTACGATACTCTTACTCAAAGACCAAAGTCGCTCAGCTGCAGTTTCGTCTACCGCAAAATCAGCAGCTGGATACAATTGGCAGTCATTCAGATACGATCCAGAGTAAGCTTTTTTATGTCAGTGTCTGATGAAAGAGCCAAGATGTGTACCAGCACATACCTTGTAAAGCTGGGTCTAAAGCAGCAACCATGGTGGTGGCACATCCTTGCTGGAGAGTTTTAGGCTCAAGATGTTCGGCATTTGGAACTTCCCAATATCAGTATCAGTTGACGTATTAGACGTTCTCTGTGCTTACACTTCAGATGGGCCTCGATTACTGCAGGATCAGGCCGCGGGCTGTCCATATGTCGTGCCAGGCTAGTGGCAATAACTGGATAATAGAAAAATGAGTCACTATGATAGCGACCATCTTGCGACGAAATTCAAAGGCTACTTACTTCCCGGATGCAGGGATAAAAATGTGACATCAGCACTGGGTATCTTGGATGCCAAAGATTTCATGCTGAGGATCATGGCCGTCTTGGATTGAGCATAAGCTTTCCAGGGATGGTATGTCGCACCATCCTAGTAGTAGTAGTAGGACAGTCAGTTAATCAAGAAAGCCTTATTTTCGTCCCAGTCTCATACCGAAAAGTTAAGGTCGTCGAAATGGACTTCACTGAATCTATGGGAAGCCGCAGAGACATTGACAACGCGCGCAGCTGAACCAGGCCTCCGGATCTGGTCAATCAGCAGCATCGTCAACAAAAAATGTCCAAGGTGATTTGCCCCAAACTGCAATTCTACAGGCGCTCCCTTCGGATCTTTCCAGTCCGACACTGGAGTGTAAGGACAGGCCATAATTCCAGCATTGTTAATGAGGACATCAATTCTCTTGATCTCTGGGTTGGAAAATATCTGGTCGACCGCAGCGTGGATGGAGGCCGAATTGCCGAGGTCAATAGGGACAAACCATGTCTTGATCGACGAGTTGATGGTTTGGATCTCTGAAATAACCGGCCGAACTCGAGCCTCGTGAGGACTCAGAAGAATGATTTGGGCCGGCTGGGCATTACGAGCAAGGGAGAGGGCAGTCTCTGCACCGAGCGAACCAGCGCTCGTACCGGTGATGGCAACTATTGATCTGTGGTTCAGCTTTGTTCTTGAGATGCTATCCATAGTATCCTAGAGTTAAGTTTCACTCACATGTACGGCCCTTGACCTGGCTAGCAAAGGCTTGAACCACTTCATCACCTGTGGTGTTCTTGTCGAAGTTAATGTGGGTGGCCATGATTGTTAGTCCTTCAACGAATACAGGCGAAGGCAAGATAACCAAATAGTATGTATCATTGATCAATCCAGCAGTGAGAGTTCATGATAGATATACCAAAAACCACACTGGCGGATTTTACCCGGAGATAAGGACGTATCACTGCACCCTTCGGACAAATTGAGTTATTTCTCGGAGCAACAATTGGTGGTGACGGCGTTCGGAAGCTATAAGTCTTCCGTCCGTAGAACCCGCCGCCCCGCGCCACCCCAAAAAGCCCTCCTGGACGAACTATATACTCTCGGAAAGCTTAAGCCATCGATGTACGTAAAGTCTCATTGCTCTGATGATTGGGATCCGCCTCATACTGCAGAACTACACTGTGACGCCATTGCCGGTGTCCACTCTTCGCTGCCAGCGAAACCTCCAATTGTTTTCTGCCGCAAAAATGCACTCCCACTCCTCCTGGACAGCACAAGGCATAACGATTCCGCCTGTTCAAATCCATGACATTGGCACAGCTACGGAGGACTCTGCCCGCACTTTGAATCATTATCTCAAGGCAAATCACGCCAGATATTCCCTACTTTATCATGGAAAGCTCTTTCATAACCACGTACCGCATGTATGTTCCTCAGTCCGTCACTACTAGTGGCCTTGCGGTCAGGTCCGGGGGCTAACGCATCGAGAAATTTAGATACTGAGCTCGGCCTATCTGCTCGGAGCTGGTGCGGGTGATCTTAAGCGCCTGTATGAGGCCGAGTCAAGGGGATTGGAGCCCTGGGCAGACTCGCCGAGTGACGTAACTACAGAAAATTGGCGCGACTGCCTTGGGAAGAAAGAGTAGATGTGCCCCAGTTTCTCGACACATTATGACAGTCGCGCATTGTCTCGTGCTAACTGTGCTGTAGGTACGAGCGGGGTTTTGTGAAGTTTTTCCAAGGCGAAGTCGCTCGGGAAGGCGGTGACTGGAAAAAGGTAGCTGCATATTATCTTTTCTCGGGGAAGCAGCCTCTGATAAACTCTGTAGTCGCTGGCGGTATGTTTTCTCCTGCTTTAGGTAGTCAACTGCGTCGGGAAGTGCTGATACTGACACTTATTAGCTGGACATGCCCTCATCCATCTCGGCTACGCATATCATATGTCCAGCAGCGAAATAGGTACGGAGGCGATAGCATTGACAGCAACGGACTACAATGGCATTCATAAGTATCTGGAGAATGAGGCTTACTCTCAGGTTCAACCGCCTTACAAATCACCGTCTCCTTTGGAGATATTGGAAAAGGTAAGAACAGACGAACGTTTCAATCGCCTGTCCAGGCCGGGGTACAACAATCTCGACACTATTTTCCGGGAGTACGAGACTCCTCTTCTCGAGCACTGGAACGCTTGGACGATTGACTCCCCAGTGGAGCAGTTTCGGGAGAGTCAGAAGGCCGCGGCAGCAATGGCAGTTGCAGCGAACAAGCACGACTTCTTCCTCATTCATATCCTGACTACTAGCCACGCGATCCGCGTTCTTCTGCCTCTAATACCCGCTCAGTTTCACACACCGGTTTTGCGTCAGTGGTGGCTAATCACCGTGGCACTTTATATTGCCCAACTCCGACCCAAGGTCACGCCATGGAAGATATTGGAGTACAACATTAAGGGAAGAGATTGGGATTGGCCGATTTCAAGTGCTCTCAAGGGACAGCACTCTACTGATGCGCATTATGTCAAGGCCATTCATGCTCTCAAAGAAGCCTGTGACCTCTGGGGTGATTCTGATTCTTTCTTTCTCAAGGCAGCTGTAAAGTTTGCAGATGAATTTCATGGATGGAGTGGGTTTTCCTAGGCTCAAATCTAAGATTATGCGCTCACTAGGTGGGTTAAAATCTGATTTTCCATGACCTGTTGGCATATTGTGATAATGTATTCAGCGAAAGCACAACTCATATCAGTCTTCAATCAAAAAAAAATCTTAACGACACCTTCCATCAATCGTCGAGTCATAAGCAGCTTCGTAGATAACTGCCGTTTATTCCTCTATCACAAGTACCTTCCAATGAGCTTGTTAGTGTGACCCCAGATTGTATCGGCTGCCCCGCTGTCTACAAGGGAATTAAGGAGATCGCCAAGGCTCAGAGTCTCCAGCTTATAGCCCACACACAGGAGAGATCCATCCTTCGTCCCATTGACAGTCAGGCCGGCCTCTTGTCCCTCCTCCATAGGTGCCCCTTCCCCGCCGTACTTAGCACTGGTCATCACGTAAAGCGAGCGCTCCCCGGCTTCCGCAGGGGTTGAGCGTTCAATATCAGCAGGGGCAGTGACGCTGCCATGTTGTTTAGTTTCACCCCATTGATCCCCCCAACTTTTCTTAAAGAGATCGGTAGACACAAGGCCCGGGTGGTGGTGGATGATGACAATGTCCTTGTTCTCTGCTTGCTCAGCGAGTCGCTTGAGGCTCACTGAGGTCATGGTCGCAACGTGGCCCGCATAGCTGGGAACACTGAAGTGCCCGGGTTCCTTCAGCTGAAGGTCACCGAGGAATAGGTCGGACGTTTCTGCACCCGCGGCGAGAACGTTGACGATGCGGGGCCGAAATGATAGTCTGTCGGCGTCACGCTTGGCTGCTTTTGCTCGGAGGAGGGGAGACAGGCGGCGAATAAAGATCTGCCGGCTATAGTACGCCACGGCGGTGGACAGCTCAATTCCTTCTGTGTTTTCTTCAACGGTAACCTTCTTTCAGCACAATTCAGAGTCATCTCGATGCTAATGCTCGGCTAGTTGCATACCTTGTCGCCCCAGGAAGGGCAGGAAGCCAGCCGAAAGGAAAAGTAAGTCGATATAGGTCTCCCGGCTAAGGATTGTATCCGTAAGACGCTTGGCTTCCGCCATCAACGAGACCTCACCCTGCAGGAAAATTAGGGTGGCAGACGGATTTGAGGTCTGAAGCTCGCTCAAAATGGGCTTAAATGCCGCCTCATCGCGACCTATTATATACACTTTCACAGGGAAACCAGTATATATAAGCTCTGACAGGGCTGCTCTGCCAATTCCTGCCGTTGCACCGACGAAAACCGACACCTGCGGAACTGTTGCGGCTGTGAGTTGCCTGTTGGATGCCCTAACCTCGGACAGATAAACCATTTTTGTTGCTTTGCTGGTGACTCGGAGATCGTATGTGGAGATTTTGAACTTGATACTAGTTGACGTGAATATAGTATTCCTCTCGATGGCTTTATGTCTTCACGCGGATAATGCAGTAACTAACTATAACCACCACAGCTACATTACTAAATAGATGAAGGGGAAGGAAATCTAATTATCCCGAGGAGCGATCTAATTGCCGCTGACAAAGCGATGAATAGCTAGGATAACTAGCGTTATTTTGCAGGACGGAAATTCTAGAAGCCTTTTGAAACTATACTCAAGCCGGCGCTTGTTGCAGGGAAGATGATGTACGGAACTGAGTTACAGTTCTACAACTTCTCCCAAGCATGACTGGTCCGAAGAGTAAGAAAGTGAAGATAACACACAAGGTCGAAGGCATATTGCCCAAGTTGCTAGCAAAATTCCAAGATTTTCCCTCTTTACGGTCAAGAGGACGCGCTACACATATGGGTTCTTTCCCTGAGATCCCTCCAAAGACGTGTGTTTCACTGCAGCTTCTCTCTGATAATGTAGGGGTGAGGATAAGTCCTATCTGCACTGTAGACTGGTAGTTGAGACCACAGTACTCAGAATACCTTTTTGCCGCTTTGCTCCTGGCCTCAAGCACATGTCTTCTCAGATCTTCCACTGAACCTTTCCACCTGACCATCACCTTCCGCCCTCTCGCCTTCTCATAGGTTCGAGGAATGCCGAGCAGAGACTGGACTTCCAAGTAAACATTCCAGTACCCACCCTGCTCACTTTCCTCCAGCTGCACGATCTCCCTCTGGTACGCGAAGACATTGAATGGCGCCGACGCCGTTGCGGCTTCCCCCATGCCGTCAACATCGTGGGAGGAAACTGACTTTGTCTCGATCATGCGGGTACCTAGGTCCCCCGTAACTCCAGCGACCAGGACAAGCATGATTTCAGATTTAGAATAGGCCACTTGTTTTGATCAGAGAGATGCGATATGGCTAGGTAGAGATGTCTGCAAAAGCTTAGTTTTATTGCCTACTCTGTCCGACCAGCTTAAGCCATGGCATTATACGGGACCGGAAATCGGACTATCCCAAGAGGAAAAAGGCTGAGCCTCCACACGCCGTATATGTACACATGTATTAAGTGGAACTATGCCTGGTCATGAGTCGAGCCAGTGTCCTGTGCTGTGTGTTCTGAACTCGATAATCTTCCGAGGCGAAGATAGGCTACTCGCTCTTTGAGCGCGTCAACTTCTTCTCAATTGCATCCGCGCACCGCCTGTACATCTCCTCGACATATTGGCGCATGTTTTCGTGTTGTACCGGATCAGGCAGCGGTTCCCCTTCAGCGAACCATCTGAATTTAGTGGACTTGCCATCAATATCCTCCAAGACCATGTTGGAATAAATGTCTCCGGCGTCAGTGACATCCTCGTTGAAGACGCGGAAGCGAAGAAGATGCTGGATCGGATCGCAGACATCCATTTGTTCGCGAACCATGTTCACCCAATCATTCTTTTCAAAATGAATGGTCCGTATGGAGCCAGGACCGTATCCTTCAAGAGATGAGGTGGTCACGCCGGGAAACCAGAGCGACTCGGCACCAAACGAAGCCACAACGCCCCAGACCTGGCCGATTGGAGCATTAATGGTGACAGTGACGTCGGTGATGACTTGTGGCATTGTGGGAATATTGACGAGAACTATACCTGGCGAGTTTAGCTCGTTTTCAAACTTATGTTGTAGGAAATTGGGAACCGCACCTTTCGAGCTCTAAAGAATCCTGCAAAGTCTTATGCTCTGTTGCACCGAAGCTGCTATAGAGGCTGCAGCATGGAAGAGAGAGCGATTTATATAGGAGTCTCATATCTAGTTTCCATAGAAAGTTGTTGGAATTATTACAATTGTATGATCATCGCGTAAGGCCGTACCACGGTACAAGACAAAGTTAAATTATTCAGCGGACGGAAAAGGGACGGACGGACGGAGTTGGCTCATGACTCCCACTTCTTCCCTTTTCCTCAGCGGAATTACAGCTCCATTTGCTTTACCAAAACACATTACATCGAGCACTTGCAACCGTTCACTTCGTTGAATTTCCGGTCATGCCGCCCGACGGTCTTTTGCCGGAGCAGCCAGCGGTATGTCATCTCCGACCCTTGATCCTCACAGGCGGGGGTTAATGCAAAGATATGCGTAGTGCGACTTCTGCCATGCGAGAAAGGTCCGTTGATCTAACGCCGTCGTTGCGTCCGTCCGGTCGCTGAGATCAGTGTCGTACTAAAATAGATCAAATGCAATCGACAAGCGCCATGCGACAACTGTATAGACGCGCTAGTAGACTGTCGCAGGGACCGACCAAGAAGGAGTAGGCGCCCAAAGGGATCGCGGCAAGTCCTCAAGCTTCATAATGCTGTTTCCCACCTAAGACGCATTTACTGACGGGAATAACTCAGCATATCTTCGCTTAATAGAAGACTTCTGGCACTCGAGAGGGCAACTGCAACCTTACAAAGCGATCCTGGCCCTGCAACCGATGGCGGTCCCTTTCATGATACAGTAGCCCAGGCTGCAACACAGAGAGAGAGCACCGACGCGACCAACGCTGGTCTTTACGGCCGCCAATCTAGCAATACAGGGGGCTCCCGACAACCGACAACTGCTCTTAAAGACGGCTTGACACAGCAAACTTCGGAGGGCGCGAGATTCTTGCAGAGAGAACTGGAGTCGAATGTAATGATGGGTCAAGACAGGTCTGTTGTTTTGAGACGTGCAATCGATTTCGTCAGTCGTATCTCCAATTCGGGTGATCTGTCTTCTGTGACCAGCACATTCAAGTCTGGCACAACAGGCAGTGATGCTGAACCGCATAAGTTTCCTCCGGAACTACTGTACATGATGACAATAAGTAAGTGAGCGGCAAAAGTAGACTCATAAAGCTGATTGATTGACTTCTAATCTTCAGCCCCGGATCCCGAGCCAGGTGTCATGAAACGGTCGTTCTGGCCAGACCACATTTCTCTCGAGACTTTAGAAAATATGTGTCTGTCTATCATGGAGGAGAAAGAAGATCGACAGACCCTAATCTGCTATCGGATCTGTGTCTATATGAAAGCTGTCACCCTGATCAGCCGCCTGCCCAGAAGAGATCGAAGTGCTCTGGTCCGCCGTCATCTCGAACAAAGCAAGAGACAGTACGAAGACGAGATACACCGTGCGCTGAGCGAGTTGGATTTTCTGAGGCCCCCAAGTTTATCTTTCCTACAGGCCCTTTTATCGGGGGTAAGTCCGCACGGCCTCATCCTCAGGGATTAGAAACTTGTCGAGAAACAAACTGACTTGTATTAAGGCCCTCTTCATGCAAAATCAAGGTGACATGTCCCGAAGCTGGACATTAACAGCATTCGCCTCGAGGACCTTGGTCTCTCTAAATTACCATACGATCGACAAGTGCGTACCGTCAGAGGGAGATATGCAGGATATCTATGGAGCTCTCTACATATGTTACTATCTTGACAAAATTCTGAGTGTCCTCCTGCTCCGTCCTCCTTCGCTTCCAAGACTGAAGATAAAGCCAGCAGACTTGGTCCGCCTGGATCCTCGGCTTCCTCTTAGTGCTTGCGTCAAGGTTATGGTTTGTCTTGGTCAGATTCAGGATGGAGTCCTTGATGTACTCTTCATCCAAAATGAGAAGAATGATAAGGTCATTACAGTCAATGCACTGGTCCAGGAAATGTATCATCTGCGCACATTGATGGATGAGGTGAGAAACCCAAACCCGGAACGAGAATCAGCTGACAAACAGCCCTCCCAGCCACAATGTCAGAAGCTTGCAGAAGAAACATACTTTGAATGGGCAGCTATTGAATTCGGCTACTATGCTCTTCTGGCCAGTGTTTTCCACCTGCAACAGCGCGTTGTGCAAGGCCCGTTATCTCGACAAGAATGTCTCCACGCTGCGCGGCAGTCGCTGGTCCAGCTCACCAAGCTGCAGGACGAAATCGCCATAGATAAGAATTTCCTGGACGAGTATCCCTACTTCCTCACATGGCAAGTCTTCCCCCCATACATAGCAGTGTCCTGCGGTGTTGATTGCATATTATCTGACTATATCGCCTAGGACCCTTCTATTCTTCCCACTGAGCCCGTTCTTTGTCGTCTTCTGCAACGTCATATACACAAGAAACAGTGAAGATTATACGTTATTATCGACAGTCACGAAAGGAATGTCCCGCTTTTCAAGCCGAAGTCGCTCGGTTGCTGAGTTACATAAGCTATTTTCAGCTTTTCTGGGCCTGTGCGAACTCCTCTTCCAGAGTGAAAGTCGCGCTCCCGATTCCGGTGCCATCTCTTTTCAATCATATTCAACAGACCCTACTACTACCCTTCTCCAGCAGAACCCCACCACCGGTAGCGAAAATTTATTGGGAGATTCTCTCCCATTACCCAGCTACAGTCTGTCTAGTGGCTCAAATCTCCCTCAAGCTAGAGATGATGAGCTGCAAGACCAGGCAGCATTGTACGGCCAGCCCGGCGAAATGGGATCGTCTGATAATGAGCTCATGTGGGACCTTTTGCAGTCACAGCCGTGGTGGGGTTGGATGAGGTCTGATGCCTAAAACCCCACGGCCTTAGGGTGAACCGTACCGGCACCTCACGCTTCACTATTCCTGATAACGTGGATATGCACCTGTGTGCCAGTGTGTCTAATATCTACTCAAACTAATAACACTTGTACAACGGCCCATACTAGTAATAGTCAGAAATAGAGAGAGAGAGAGGAAGGGAGAGAAATTTATTTGGCCGACTGCTATAAATCTACAGATGGAGAGATCGCTACGAGGCCCCAAATGCCATCAGCCGATCAACCTGGGGGCCTTCTAAGGTAGTTATGTCATCGGATGACCGGGGAAATTGATTGTAGAACCGACTTTCCACTGCAGCTATGTTAGGCATCGAAAACATCGCTATCGCGCACACTTAACTTCTTGCCCGCATTCAAGTTTTGCCCACCGTGCTCGAACCAAAATCCCTCCGCCTGCAGTTCTGTGTCCCATCCGCAGTCCCAGGGACACGCCCGGCAACGCTTTGACAATCATATCGTGCGGGTACCCAAGAGCGACGGTGTGGTCCAAAACACTCGCAACGATCATCAGACACGTGCTTCCTAGCATCTGCCGCCATGATTCCCCGCCACAGCTCGTAGCTGATAACCAGGCTGAGCTTACCTTTCCATTCGTGATATAAGTAGTGGGATTGCTTTCTTCAGACTATCAGACATGCCGGATAGGCCCTGTTGTACTGGGGCGTGACAAAGATGAATGCGCTTTACTTGGGAATCCTGATGTACCGTTGTCGCGTTTGTTTGTGCGCGTATTGGTCTGCTGAGACAATGTGTGAGGGCATGCCCTGCTCATCGAATGCGGGAGATTCCATTCGGCGAGATCGACGAGATGGAAATAGGCTGGAAGCTGTAGGTTCCGAGGGAAGCGGTTGCCAATTCGACAACTCAGAGTCCTGCGTGCAGTTTACGCTGGCTACTGACAAGGGTGCCCACTCTTTAGAGTCGATAGCCATTTGTTGCTTGTGTGTTGGTAGCTGTATGCAATCGAGTAGACTAAAATACTCGGCTGTAGAATTCATATAACTAATTTTGTTATATAGCTTCCTTACAAATGCTTTCGGCTTCGCGGAATCCTACTCCCCTCGCCACGGCCACGGGTTTGGTGACCCGATGGTGACTTAACACCGAAACACGTATGGTCCATCTGTCCCTGGCGCCAGTTTCGAGCTGTCAAATTTTTTTATTTTTTTTCCCGCACGCACTAGTTGTGGCTATTCTCAAAGGATGGGATAAGGCGAATACCGATAGATCGGTGATACTCAAGTCCTGGTCTACACTTGATGGTCCTATCCCATCCGACACTCTGCTAGATAAGCTGTCTCATACACCCCAGTAGTATCCTGGCACGCAATCTCAAGCTCAATCCTCATAAGCGTCATGATCAAATAGCACGGCAGCAAGTTTTCAGGCTCTTTAACTGATTCGGACGGACGGTCGGAAATGTAAATGTTCCAGGGCCCGAAGGGGCAAGATTGCTACTAAATTGTCTGGTAGCCTGGTTGACGTATCGAATTTATTTCGAGCGTTTGCATGCGTGCCTGCTTATATTTAGGTCTGAGTTTTCTAATTAAGCAACGATGCTCAATAAATACATAAAAAAAATACATAAATAAATGGTAGCAACTAAGCCTTAAATTAAATAACTGAGCGGATGCTGGATACAGGTGACTACAGGTCAGCCCACCACCCCCCCGGGGCCTCGGACCACCGGCGCCGATTTTCCGAATCACATGCTAACCATTTTAAAACAGCTCATCTCACCGGTCAGATGAGATAATTTTTTACTTTCTGTAAATATTCTGAAAGTTACCCTCCATACTTCCCCTAAACTAGTTCTTTCTCATCATCTTAAAAAACTAGTTTACAATGGCCTCATATGAATCTTTTCAGTACCTTGAGAATGATAGATCAATTATTAATAATCTTATTCCTAGTACCTTTTCTAATGATTCTTCTGAATCTGATGATAGTATATCAATATTATCAGATGACTTAGATGATCAAATTCTGCATGAACGCAATCTAGCTGACGATTCAAATCTTCTCAAGGTAAACCATATAAACTAGTTTATAGGAACTAGTTTACATATACTAACTAGTTCTAGAATACATAACCTATAGCTTTGACATCGTCCTTCCTAACTCCAATCTTGACACAGCAAATTAAATATGTTGATCATCTACCTGAATATCCTCAATTGCATATACAGGGCTATACTTATGTTGTATGATTGAATACCTTAAACCCTATAATTTCCGGACATAATCCTTTCACATTAGTAAGTCTTAACTAGTTTACAGACTAACTAGTTTTAATTAAACTAGTTCTAATACTACTACTAGATTTAATATTCCCACTCTACTGTTGGAACTCCGCGTCAAATATATTGTTCCTTTCTACATTTATATATTAGATGATATTATCTACGATGCTTAGGAATAAAGGCATATGAATATATTCATCCTGAACTATTAATAATAGAACATACACATGCATCTAAACTAGTTTTCTCTCAAATTTCTAAAATTCGGCAACGGATTATGCAAAGAATAACTAGTTTATTTATTCATAAGACTACCAGGTAAGTAGGTTCCTTATTAAATATATATTATTTTGACTATTCTAATAAGTATTAGTCTTTATCACAGTATAATCAAACATTTTAATTCACAAAATGCATGTCAAGAATCAACTATATCATGTCAACCAGTTTTCACAAAATATCACTATCCTGTAAGTAACTAGTTCTAATAAAAACTAGTTTTATATACTAACTAGTTTAGGATGTTGCCAGTGTATAGTATTATTATATTAGATGCACAAATGCTTCACCTTTAACCTATCAAAAGCACTTTCATATGAATCTTGCAAATAAAGCATTCCAGCTTGATTTAGATCTTTTGAAAAGGCTGTTTAAAACCAGTAAGCATGATCATATTCATGAACCTTGTAGAGTCATTAAATAACTAAATAGTCAGCAGCCTCACTATGGTAAGCCCTTAACTAGTTTATCTAATAACTAGTTCTTCACTAAACTAGTTAGGTGTTCCTCATATCCAGGGCCATGGAAAGATGAAGAGAAAAGATTATAATATAATATTTATAGTACTAGTTCCTACTAGTATTACTGAATGTCCATATGTAATATTTCTCTCTACTAGAATCCATTTACATCCTCCACTACCGCCTAATAAACCGCCATAGCAAATAATGGATGAGATTCTTCATTTAATTAAAAGAATGCAGAATCCTGATCTGACACTTAGTAAGTTATGTAACTAGTTTTAAGATAAACTAGTTTATATATTAACTAGTTTAGGTTTATTCCTGCAGAGCCCTGCCTTAAAAGAGTTTTGCCTTAAGTATAATAGTCAGACTTTATCACAGATTTATCATAGTTTTATGAATCAAGATAGATTCTCTGCTATTATTACTAAAGAGCGAGCTCTTTTATATCTAAAAGGTTAGAGTTTTAATAGGGTACTATATAAGCATACTCACAACCCAAACTACTAGGTATATAAAACTAGTTTATCCCCTAACTAGTTCTCTGCTAAACTAGTTTAAGAATTATATCCATGGAATCTACACTGATAATATTTATATAATAATCATCTGTGGATTTAAGGAGCAAATCACACTTTTAAAGATATTAGATTCTTTTGAGATTGATATATCTTTCAAAAGAGTTAAAGGAGACTTTAATAAGGTGATATTTATAATATTCTTACCAGAGCATAGAAAAAGTTAAGTCTAAACTAGTTTACTAGAGGCTGGATTCTAATATTTAACTAGTTTTCACACTTCTTCATGTGTTTATGGATCAAGAGACTGCAGCAAGCTATTAATTATTATTTCATTATATTTTTTAATTAATTAATGAGGTCTGTGGTGCACCAGTCTAGTTTTATTATCTGTATCAAAGTGGATATAAAGCAATTATTATTAATATAGATAGAAAGCAACTCTTAGGTAAGAACTAGTTCTCTTATAAACTAGTTTTATAGCTAACTAGTTCTAGGTCTTGGTCATTATCTCYAAGACATTRATCCTGAAGGTCRACCATGGACATAGTAATTAYAAAATATTATTATTTTCTRCYATATTTATTTTATRTAAACTATCTCTAAGCTAGTTCCTCCTGGAGCTTTAGAGATAGATAGTCACTTTCATTCTATTTAGCTTTAAATGACTAGTCTTTTATCTTATTAATTATAGGATGAATTTCTTCGCCTCACTRAATTACTRCAAAGTAAGTTAACTAGTTTATCTGTTAACTAGTTCTATACTAAACTAGTTCTAGTTAATGAATCGCCTGACATTGCAAGATAGGCGAAATATAAGCAACATCCTATAATTTCTGCTAGCTTGAATAAAAACTGCTCATTAATGAATTCTGAGTTTTTTAATAAGGTCAGAAATCATATAAATGCAGTAGAATAAAGCCACTATAAATCTTATTGGATAGGTATTTATGATTCACTACTTGGAGCAACTCTTAGGTATATTTAAACTAGTTTCTATTAGAGACAGTTCTCTGATATATTCTATTATAATAGGTTAATGATAATTAATYAGTGAGATATTRATYAACTCTCTGCAYRATAAATATATRGAATCCATYATTCTTGRAGAAGTGATRATATAGATACTTAATACTATAATTATATAGCTCGCGAAGGTATGTACAAACTAGTTATATCTAAACTAGTTATWRAACTAATGAGTTTCAGAGYRACRGAAAAGAYGAAGAACTAAGYAAGAAAATAGAACTATTAATCATAATTYTATTYTTTTTAATGCTAGWTCTTCAGGCTTTATTYAAGCAYGCTYAGRTTCTAGAGGAAGATYAACTTCTTAAGGAAGATCTAGAGGCCCTTTATCCCCTTAATCAGTATTAAGATGGTAAGAATTTTTCTTCAAAACTAGTTTAAATACTAACTAGTTTAGATAGTTAACTAGTTTATAGTCATCCCATTCATCCCAGCRGTAAGAAAACTTAATCTCTAGAACTAGTTTTTCTACTAATTTATTCTAGATCATTAAGTCTTCAGCAGATTACTACCTCTAATCTTCATACCCAAAATCAGAACAGTTATACTGAGTCACACCAAATCAATCTCTAAATACTTGAAGCAGAGATAAGAAAGGCTAAGATTAAGAAACAGAAATTAGAGCTAGAGTTAGAATTAGCTAGACTTAGGCAAACACAGATGTAATATATTGTTTTTACCTAAACTAGTTGTGTATAGAACTAGTTCTATATATAACTAGTTTAGGTAAAAACTCTTGGCATATCACCAGTGTTAAATATATATATTACTAACTGCTAACTTAGTCTTGTCTAGAAAAGAAGGTAGAACTATATCCATTTAAACTAGTTCTATAGAATCCCAGCTATTTGTAAAATTTTAAAAATAAACTTTCTTTAACTAGTTTAGAACTTGCATAACTAGTTATATTTATAGAAAATCACTAATTTATGTAGTCTCTATCTTAGACTCCTAGCCTAATGGTTCCTCTTCATTAAACTCCCTGAATACCTTATATACATCCCTGTGAGTTCCCTTGCAACATTCTAGAACTAGTTAGAGATATAAACTAGTTCTATTAGAAACTAGTTTACTTACCTTTTGACTTTTTATCCGCCTTACAGCGGTCACAAGGCACCTGTATATTATAATCTTTTGTAATGGCGCGCATCGCAGTCATATTGACCTAAACTAGTTTAGTAAAAGCTAGTATTATATAAGAACTAGTACTCACAGTCCCATCATACTTTAACAGAATGACTAGGCGGACCTTTAGTTTCACAGCTTCGCGGGCATTATAGGCGGCAACTAGTTAAGTGTACCAGGCTAAACTAGTTAGTAATGCTAACTAGTTCTTCAAAGAACTAGTTCTTACTAATAGCAGCATCCTTATTAGCTTTCTTTGGGCGCCCTCCAGCATTTTCCTCAAACTCAGCACCATGTTTTGCGACAAAGTGTTTCTTTAAGTTGTTCAGGTTCATGTATTTGGTCTAAACTAGTTAGCAGGAAGAATGTAAATATGATAGAACTAGTTCATAACTTATGTTAACTTCGCAACTGCTAAAGCGGCAATACACTTCACCAACATAGAGATTGACATGGCCAGAGGTCTAAACTAGTTAGTAGGGATAACTAGTTCTATCCAGAACTAATTCCACACTGTGAGAAAATCTCACTTCGGCTAGCTAGGAACTAGTTCTGCCATATATTTTTTACTCACTTCAACAACTGCGTCAGGAAGTTTGAGGTCAGGTTTTGGGATCTCAAGGTATTGCTGGTATGCTTCCTAATATGCAAATTAATACTGATTAACTAGTTCTGGAGGAGAAAACTGACATTACCACAGACACAAGCCATGGTGGAGGTGTGGTAGAAGTAAGATGTAGTGTTGTGTCAGTAAGGTAATGTACTGAGCTCACCCGACCGGCGGTGGGGTGAGATCACATGATCGCGGATAATCGGCGCCGGTGGTCCGAGATTCCGGGGGGGTGGTGGCCTGACCTGCGTTCTGCTGGATACAGTTGTATGTCCCGCGTGAGTTTATTCAAAAATACATCGCATGTAAAAAGGCCCTTTATGACAGGTATTATGGGTTGTACGTACTATTCAACCTGGGAAGTTTATTCACTTTTCCCCACTGCGCAGAACGTCTAGTTGTTAATAGATTACCATTGGCATCATGAGGCGGCAGCCCTACTTCCGAAATTCCGTCTGTTAGTCCGCCGTAGTCCGCGCCTTTTCTGGTCCTCTTTCGCGGGGATATATATACCAGCACTTGTCACTGGACTACACTCGCTGTTAGTTTGAGCGCAAGCAAAAAGACCCAAGGATATTTGGGTAGTATATAATTGATGCAAGACCCACTGCATAATTTTCCTTGCTTTATCATATTCCCAGAAATACAGATTCATACAACATGCTTATTTTGATCGCTGGTATTACCGGATTCGTTGGCATTCCGTGCGCCAGGTCCGCATTTGCGCGTGGTCACAGGGTTCGAGGCCTAGCTCGGAATATCAACAATCTCCCGAAGGATGTGCGGGACCAGCTTGAAGGCTTTGAGACGATGTCCAACCCCTACGACATTGCTGCAATGGATCGGGCTACAAGCGGTGTTGACGCCATTATCTGTTCCTTTGCTGCCCTTCCCGAAATGTTTATGGAATCGCAAATGCTACTTATCAGGGCAGCAGAGCGTGCGGGAGTGAAGGTAAGTAGGACCATTCTGTCTGTTAGCAGTTGGTTAAGTGCTCTGTAGATTTTCCACGCCACCTCCTGGAACTACGACTGGACTCTTTCCCCTGGTTCACACGAAATTTATGACGACATGCGGGGCTTTGCTCACCATGTGGCTGTCAGCTCGACTATTAAGCCCATCTATATGTTCACCGGTGCAATCGCAGATTATTACTTCAAGAGAAGCCGTTATGACTGGGACCCAGATACCAAGACCTTCAATTTCCACGGGCCTTCAACCTTTCCCACTCGTTACACCACAGCGGAAGACATTGGCAACTATGTGCTTGAGGCTATCACTGCTCCAGATGCTGCTAACGGAGGCTTTGTCCGTGTTCAGAGCTTTGAAGCCTCCCCGGAAGACATCGTCAAGGCATACAATGCGGCCAGAGAAGGTCGCAACGATGCTAAGCTTAACTGCTTAGGATCGTTAAAGGATGCAGAGGCTAAGCTGAACGAGGGAAGGGCTACCTATGGGAAGAGTGGATGGTATAACTTTATAAGGTATTGCTACCAGTATCATATTCCAGCTCGATCTTGGGATTACGAGCCAGTGGATGTTGCTCGCTTCCCGAATGTCAAGCAAACTAGCCTGGAGGATTTTTTCCGCCGCAACCCAGACGTGTAGTTGATCACGCAATGAAGTTGCTAGCTAGATAAGCAGATCCTCTCATGTCAAACGGAGAATGCAATTTATACTCGGTCCTTCTGCAAATCCACTCGTGGCTTAGTAGATAAATAAGCAAGAAATATTTGCATAGAATTGAGCTGACTAGTATGCTCTGATTGCCGTGGTGAGACTTGATCTCCGTGAAAACGGTTACTTGGACCAATCTATGTATTGTGCACTTAGTAGAATTCTTGAGTTCACCAAAGTTGAGATCACCGCTCTAACCTGCTGCCTTGGAGCTTTGGGCCCATAGTAAAGCGAGCCTGGCTTGACTCTAAGATGGGTTGGAGGTAGAAATTCCAAACCGGTCGTGCTGCCCACTTAAGTACTGAATCAAATGATTCAGGTTGGGTATGTTCTATTTTCCCTCCTAATTTTGATGGTCTCCGCATCCCAGGGCGATTCACAGCGATATTCGCAGAGTAATCGTCGATTGAACACGAAGCCCTTCTTTTTAATTCATTGCGTTACCGACAGCTGCCTACACTGTCAGGGTTTCCTCCCATTAATCTCAGAGCAATTCGGGGCTTCAGCTCGCGCAACAGTGGTGGTTCATGCTCTTCACCTTACAGCCCTGAGCCAAAACACCAAAAGGAGTCTATTGGTTGGACAATGTACTTGTACTATTTTTACTTCCACTTTCATGCACACCTCGTGCCTTTGCATGGAATGTGATGCTTCCACAGACGCGTGAAAAAATGGTCTCCTACTTTCTCCTTTCTATTCCTTGTCCTTTTTCTTCCAAATAGACTTTTGACGAAAAGAGACCCGGGCGACACAGCGAAAGTATCGCTGTTCTTCTTTTTTGATTTAAACATACACGGGTATCAATCCATTTCATACACATTTTCGCTCCAGCGCCTTTCCCTGATGTAGTGGCCTATTTCCGCGATCAGGGCACCAAATAGAGCCGCGGAAAGGCAGCATCGCCACTACTGAGATCCCAACAACATGAGATATTCATGAGCGCGAGACAACGTTTTGACCGCCATATATAGCTATGAAATTTTCAGGCTGACTCTGACGACCGTGGGCCCTCTGAAGAACATTTCTCCCGTTTGTGGAGGCCGCCGTCTAGAAAGCAAACCGCATCCAGGAGGACCGACACCGGACACGCTCACGAAGGACCTGAGGTATTAAGGAGTTGCTCCTTAAGTAATTCTGGGCCCAGTGTTAATTAACGAAACCAGTTAAATTGCACTCGGCGCCTGGACAGTCGGTCTGGTGGCGCCGTCGCCGTCGGGCCAGCCACGGTCCTGGATTAAAGGGGCACGGCGGAGCAACTGTGGTGGCTTCTGGTCCTATGTGTCGAACTGAGTCAACAACGCGGAGCGATGCCAGGGGCACATCCGACATGGCTGCTCCGGTTCTTCCACTGCAGGTACGAAAGACAACTCCCGCAGCGATCAATGCGCTGCGGCGCGACTATCAGAAACTGGTATCACGCTCAAAGTTCGCATAATGGTGTATTATCTGAAGTCCACATTACTCCTTGTTTGCGGATTACTGACTGCTTTGGGCCGCCCACGCCTTTCTATGCACGCGCTTAGGATAGCAGGCAACTATTAGAATTACTTAAGTGAATCAAGACGACAAATAACTCTACCCCATATGTTCAGTCTTGATCCTCAATATTCTTATATTTATTCCTTTTATTTTTAGCCTTGAATCCTACACGTTTGTCAACCGCGGTACGTCCCAACATCGGTACGATATCGATCAATCCACGAAGATACGATTCTACGTTGTGAACTCTGGTTAGACCAACCAGATCGCTCGATACTACCATGATTCAACACCAATTGCAGAGATTTTATGTCTTTACCTATTGTTGTGAATTTACCTAGTATTGGTAGAAGGTTCGATCGATAGATTTTGATACTGGTGAAATACGACTGGCTTCAAATCTGTTATCCGGCGACTCTAGGGGGTGTAGAAGGATGGATACGTGTTGAACTCGGCCCGAGCCGCTTGCCAAGACGATTGGAGTATGATAACCCCCGTTTAGTTGCCTGTATATTTAGGTCTAAAGTGAGACTTAAATTCAATCTGACTTGGCCATGAGCTTTGTACGTAAAGAGCGGAAAATGAGAGCGAAATAAGCAAAGCAGCCATGAACTTGGCAGGCAGGGCGGTGGCAGAACGGGAGTGTGTGGGGAAGGGCCATATCCCAAGACCACCTGTGAGAACGGCGAGTCTAACTTGTTACATTATCCATCTATGTTGTGATTGAACTTGCAACAGCATTGATGAGGCCCTTAAACAAGGGATCGAGTTGCTTCTGCAGTTTTTCCTTGGTGAGACTCTCCGGAAGATCAACCTCTGCTATCCACGTAAAGGCGGTTCGATTCTTGTCCACGGCTTTCAACTTCATGGTGCCGATTGACTCGGTAAGAAGGTCGTTCCTGAAAACTGAGAAGCGAACAACATGGTTCTCGGCATCGACATAATCCAAACGCTCCCATGCAATACGGCCAGGCTCATGGAAAATATACGTGCGTACACTGCCGATGCCATACCCTTTGAGGTCAACGCTCTTCATATCGGGAAACCATAGCTTCTCGCATCCGAAGGATGAGATCACGGCCCAAATCTCGCCGATAGGTACATCGACAATCTCGGTAACAGAGCTAATTATCTCTAGAACCATATTCGTTCTAATTATAGAAAGATTCTGGAAAGCTACACCAACAAGGTTAACATTTTGTAGATTGCTGTAAGATGTTTGGCTCGTCTGGCAGAAGGATGAATAGGGAGCACTTGATGGTCTCATATGTAGATGAAAGTCGACAGCATACTTACAAATTAGATAACGCCCAGTCTGGGGCACGGGGGGAGCACTTTAAACAGCAAAGAGCGCGAGCTGGTGAGCTTTTTTCGTCAATAGTGCGAAGACAATGAGGCGTCATGGTGCAATTAAATCTCTAATCCAAGTGGGATTGTTTGGGAAGGTTGGATCCAAGGACGGCGATTTCTAAGCGGGAAAGAAGCGGATGGACAAATTTCACAATCGACTCCGCTTTTAACGCCGTTGACTTAACTGTCCCGCCCTTACATGTTATAGTTGCTGCAGGGTTATTGAGAAAGCATGAGTGAGGACTAACAAATAAAAGCAAGTTTGGCTGCACCGGACATTTTCCTTCCTTCCCTAACTATCAGTCATAGCAACGGCACAACCATCACCTTCAATTACAGGACTTCACCTCGGTCTTCCTTCTGATCAAATTTTCGTTTCCTATTATGACTATTTTCAAAGTCCACGAGTATAGTGGAACAATCCACGCCCCTATCGGAGAAGTTTGGGCTCTTCTTTCTGCCTTTGGTTCTCCAAGACTATGGATGCCCAACTGCATCCTTACAACTGTAGAGGGGTTCGGTATTGGTTCTACGCGAACAATCGCTTTTGACACAAACCCGGACGTCATGATCCGGGAAACACTCGATCGCGTTGACGTCACAAAGTACAGCGTTCGTGTCCATATTGACCGGGACGACCTTCCAGGAATTGATTCCTACGGTACTTTCTCCTTGAAGCAAATTTCGCACCATGAGACAGAAATGATGTGGCTTGGGGAGTCCTCGATCCCCGACGAGGAGGGCAGGGCGGTCCTCAAAGTCTGGCTTGACCGCACGTACAAGGGATTTGAGAAGAGTCTGAACAAGTTACTGGCTCATTAATCCAGAATGGAGGCTATGATGTTTCGCGTGGTAAACATACCTGGGCTTGTTAAGCCCGCAAACTTACGTCTCCTGAATATGTCCCGTCTGTTGATGAGTATTTATAAGTTGTGGAGAAGCTTTTCAACATGGCTGGTCATATTTAGTCGGTCTTATAGCGGAAAAGGATCGCGTTGAATTTCATTACTCGGTAACTGCCGGCGTGGGAGGCAATATAGTAGCCCGTGAGGTAGACATTCTGTATGCAGGAGGCAACTCATTATCGACATTGGAACTTGATAAACCTGACACTGAAGTACTCTATGTAGCTTGCCACGTTTTGTCCGACATCTGCTATGCCGATGTGAGATGAAGTGATAAGTTGGCCAGTGAGTTACATGTCCAGAGATTGGATGATCTAGCCGCATCGAAAACGTTGGATGTGCTCGTAAATGGTTATGTTCAGCTACTGGTTCATCAGGGCGTCAGAAGGAAAGGTGGGTACATTGTGCGGAAACAAGGAGAGCCTAGTCATGGGTTTGTCCTGGCGATTATTTGAGTTCATAGTGTCCGTATTGCGTCCCCGCCCATGCCTCCGTCCGTTCCTGTGTCCGTTAATTCTTCCGGCTCTCTTTCACCGGACAGACGTTTTACCTGAGAACGGTTTTCGGCCACACGCTGACTCTCCCGTAAACAAACCTAAGGAATTCAGGTATTGCATACCTTGTAAAGCTGGGTCTAAAGCAGCAACCATAGTGGTGGCACATCCTTGCTGGAGAGTTTTAGGCTCAAGATGTTCGGCATTTGGAACTTCCGTATATCAGTACCAGCCAATGTACAGACGTTCCCTTTTATTACCAATTTGCTCGTCTAACTTTTCGAGTTTTCCTGTTTTTGTAAGCATCGGCTTTTAGTAATTCGGTCCTTATCAGAAAGTCCTTTCCTTTGATCAAGGACGGGGAAACAACCACCCTTGAGGGCATCACATGCAATTAATGAAGTGTCAGAATATGCCTCGCTTATATCATGACAATATATGAAGCATTACAGTACAAGGCGTACACTGAAACCTCTAACAGGGATCATCAACTAGCCTGGCTATCCAATGCAAGTTTATCAACATTAGATCTCGATGATACGACGTTTTGTACAGTCTACAGAGTAATCGGTCAGACTGAAATTAAACTGCTGGCCGAATAGTTAATCTCCGATCCGCCTTTCGGTCCTCGGAAAACACGCATTTCCGTCTTCTCGTCCGTTCTGCCTCTGGTTTGTAATACACATCCATGCCTAAGGTACCTTCGAGGTTAGATATTCATTTGTACATCAAAGGACCTATTCCAAGAGAATGAGGGTTATTGTCAACATTTCTACCCACAGGAGCTTTTCTAGCTTGCTTTTCAAAGTTTTAATATACCATTGCTAAAAGCACTTCAACAGAATTATCATGACCTCCCTTGCTGTGATTAGGGCATCCAACAGCCAGCTGACAGGCGCTACTATCCCAAGTATTGCCGTCTTTGTTGGTGCAACCTCAGGAATTGGCCGGGCGACCTTGACGCAACTCGTCCACAAAGGGTTCCCGATGAAGGCATACATTGTTGGTCGCAATGAGAGGGATTTCCAGCCTCTGCTGAGTGAGCTGCGTGCTTCGAACAAGGCTGCCGACTTGATCTTCCTGGAGGGTCAGATTTCTCTAATGGCAGAGACAAAGCGCCTTACGGATGAGATTCTTCGCCGTGAGACGCATATTGACCTGCTTTTCCTTTCCTCTGGTTTCTTGCCATTCCTTGGACGCCAAGGTATGCCTCTTAACACACTGCAGCAAGCAACATGCTAATATGCCAAATTGTAGAAACGTCTGAAGGCTTGGAACTTTCAACCGCCGTGGGGTATTACAGTCGTCAGATCTTTATCCGACGCCTGCTGCCCCTGCTTCGAGCAGCATCCAAGTCTGACGACTCACAGTCCCCTCCCAGAATCATGAACGTTCTCGGAACGGGTGTCGAAACGGCAAATTTGTACCTCGATGACCTTGAGCTAAAGCAGCCCGGACATTTCAGTGTCCAAAGCTACGCCGCCCATAGCGCGACCATGACCTCTTTGGTCCTCAAGCGACTCGCCGAGCAGCCTGAGAACAAAAAAGTTGTCTTCATTCATCATCATCCGGGCCTTGTTTCTACTGATATTTTCAAGAAAAGCTGGGGTGATCAATGGGACGAGGGTAAAGCAAAAATGGGTCCTAATGCTTCCGCAGACATCTCACGAGCCACCACCGAGGAGGCGGGAGCCCGGTCAATCTATGTGATCACTAGCTCGAAGTATGGGGGTAAAGGTGTTTCATTGAGCGAGGGGCAGACACAAGGGACGACGGTTAAAGGGACTGCAGATGGGTCACTTTTCTGTGTTGGTGACAAGTTGGAAACTCTACGGCTCGATGGGCTTCTAGATACACTAGAGCGAAATGGCGCTTCCGATGTGGTCTGGAGTAAGACCAACGAGCTGATCGGAAAATTTCTCTGATAGATATAAGCACCCGAGGTGACGTATTGTGCATGGTCCGGTCTCATTGTGATGGGTATTTTCAAACTGGCTTAGATGAACAATCTCCAATCGATTGCACCGTCACAAGTGATTTCCATCCTTGCGCTAGTACCTACCATTGTCCTTGATTCTTCTCTCTGCATATGCCAGGTGTCGTATAGCCATCTTTCCTTTACAGGGTTAAGCAGGGAAAATATCGTCGGTATCAGTATATTCGACGTCTCTCTGTCCTCTATACCTATCTCAAGTCTTGCTCTTCTTCTGGGAGCCATACGGACCGCCATCTCTACGAAGGCGGTGCAGGTAGTGAGCGAACCGTTGGGGAGGCCCGTCTCTGAGGATGACACCCATTTTGCCGCGTCCAGTCTCTCACACCTCGTCATTGAAGTCATGTTATAATGAGCGGAGAATCCTCCCGAGACTCGATAGGTCTTCAAGCGATGGAGCCTGATATGCTTAGCAACGACGATTTTCAAAAATATTCGGGAAAGAGGTGATAAAGTGCATGTACAAAAGGTCGAGGGGGATGAGCAGCTCGCGACGTGCAGCATGTCTTATCTTGCTGCGGGATTCTTACGCTTCCCATCTATCCATTGCCACAGTCACATATCCATAATATTGTTCTGGTGAATGATGATTTTCTTCAGGTTATTAATCAATGAGGAACTCCTTTAGTTTTGATTAAATTCAGAGCTGGGATCACCATATAGCACCTCCTGTCCTCCTAGTAAAGAGATATCAGTCAAGATTAGCTCCGGGTGCTTCCCACTGCTATCCCACTGACACGGCCCTGACCTCTGCGTCCTTCAATTCAATGCCAGCAGCAAGTACTCCCCTGGCCTTGCGTAGGTAGCAAGCACTGCTAATAGCCATCTACACAGACTCCTCAATCGTCCTCCCAGTACCAATTTTAAAGGCAATCATAACATTCACCTAAGCCCTTAAACCCTCTCAGCCGCCATCCCCTCCCCCGGGGGACGCAAAATTATAACAGTACTGTCAGCTAATAGCAAGAATCATGCGCATCTAAGAGCCAAAACAGCAACAGATTAATATACTCCATCATCACATTCAGACTGGAATCAAGAGCATAGCTCAGTTTCACTAGTCTTAGCCAGGCATATCTCTGTCCATTCATGCTCATTTTTCTTATGGATCCACATGGATGGAATAAGTATGTTATAAACATAGTCACCATCAAAGGTAACCAGAGAACCATCCACAAATACCTCCTCCTCAGTGCGGAGGACTGTCCTCATATTCACAACATGAACATCCTCCAAAACAACAAGTAAAGGGCCAGCGCAATAACCATCATCTCACTCAAAAGGTAGGTAAGGACAAACAATAGCTTAGAATAGTAGAGAATCTCCAGCTGCAATCTCACAGCACTTACTAGAATATTCTCAGTAGCATATCTAATGCATCCTCTCCAGTGTCGTCCTAATTCTCAGAACTAAAAATAAAATCATGCAATAGCCCATTAAACATACAGCTCACAGATTAGCATCTCTATATTATTCCCAGATTATTTATAAAGATCTTACCTCCACATATCTAAGGAAAGCATAGAAAGACTTCCACCTGTGATGGCACTAACTTCATTAGTTATCAGTAGGGCCACAAGAGAACAGTTTATTAGACCCTCAGCCACAGCTATCATTGCATCCAAAATGCCACATTTACAGAATATAATACTGACCCTCAACAATAACAGATATCAAGATCAAGACATCCAGAAGCACAACCGCAATAGTAGAGAGTCTCCTATTATATATCTATCAAGCTAACTCCTATCACAGGATTCACAAACTCATTTCATCTCTTTACCAGCATCAGTACAGAGGTTTGACCTTCATTTCTGTCATGAGGCACCACTAGATGAGGATTTTCAACCCACCAACCTTGCGGAAGGGAGAATAGAGGACCTCCTAGGTGCCCAGTTACGGAACTTTTCGCAGCAGCTCACATCATTGTCTCTGAGTGTTGTTATAGGGAAAGAGTTGTTTTGGCCTGGTAATGATGATGGCAATACACCGCTTCCATATTGGCCAAATCTGACTTCATGCCACAAGCCCTTCCGGAGAGTGGTATTTCGAACGAGACCCTAATGAACATGTAGAGGATGGGGTGAATGAGGCAGAGGAAACACTCCTGTCAGATTATTGCAACTGCTTCCTGAGGGCCGACGCCCAAGCTATTTCCGTACTCAAGCAGCACAACACATGTCACGACTGCACTGCATGGCACTGACGTGTCTCTCTGGTCCGAGAGGTCAGGCGTTTGAATACCAGGTAGAGGAAAAAGCGGCAATAGCAACTTGGACGGACCAATCTGGATATGAACCAGAGGAATGTGTTGTGCAGGCTTGGGGGACGCCGCTTCAAGCACGCTGGCGTGGCATCGAGTCTAGAGGTAAGTTGGCACGGAGCTAGAGAGGACCGTTACCGCTCGAAAGCTTCTTATAGTTTTATTTCTCAATATTTCTTTCTGATGTTTTACACATTACCTTGCACTATCTACACTCCATTTCAACACATTACTTGATATGCAGTTTATCTCCATGTTCTAATAAGAGGGTTTTAATCTGCAATACAATACCTATACCACAAGGCCACATTTGCTACTAGAGTTCTGGCTTAAAGAGATATTATAGGCTTCAAATTAAATCAAACAGTGGCAGCGCAAATAAGGGACTGGCCTAAGCTTATTCAAGCATCTTCCATAAAAAGGAAAGATTATAGCTATATAATAATGGCAGAACTCTCAGTATTTCATATTCCATTTATTCCTCAAGGGATCCAGAGCTTTAACATATGAAGAGGTTTCAATCAATCACATCAGACTAAAAAGAGAAACCATCTAATCAGGGCACAGGTGGTGATAGGGCCAGTGGCTTTTACAGTTGTCTAACTGCGCGGCCAGACTAAGCCAATAGTCTAAGAAAATGAAGGCAAGCTTAGATCCAAGGTTACCAGAACTAATGGGATCTGGCTTATTCCAAGTACTATAGGCACCAACAGTACATGCTTTAAGTCAGTCCGCAATATATTAACCCCAGTCAAGGTTCCAATAAGAGACCGTGCGAGACAGAAATCTATATAATATTAGATAGGCCAAGTTACTGACATTCCATTCCTCAGAGTGTTATACTCTATAACATATTCTTAACCAGTCACTGGTATGTATATATAACCATCTAGGCATCCTGAATTACCAACCTGAGCATCTCTATTTAGATATCAAAGTCTAGTAATGCTCTTACATTTACATAGTCTTCTACATATCCAAGCCACTTAAGAAGCAGCACATTCTCCACCTATAATATCTATAATTATTCAGCAAGGCTTAGGCCTGGGCTTGCAAACTAGTAATGGTCCATCCAGGATGTAGTTAATAAGCTTAAGGATAAAGTATTTCATACCTTTCAGGCCTTTTTAGGTGGAATAGCACAGAATAATAGCCTAACTTCTTAGGACAATCTCATATATACACCAACTAAGTGTGTAGGTAGGAATCATTCAGGAAGAAGATAATTTCTAAAGAAGTATTATTAGAGTTATTAGGCATAATTAAGATCTTTATTATTACTCATCAGTCATACTTTAGATGGTTTTATTTAAATTCCCAGGGATTTATCTTCATGCTTTAGCAATTATTTCCGAAGAGTAACAGAGACCATACTTATATATTTTAAAGACAATAACAACATATTAACTGCCAATGAGTACACTTTGCGTTATATAAAACATGTACTTATTCTGCATCTAATTTTACAGACTCTTCATCCTCTCCAAGCATTCCTGTACTCTTCACTCCCATAATAGACAAGTCACAGCTTATAGGAAGTGAAGCTGGAGGAGTCAAAGCAGTCTACATCCCTAGCATACAGCTGCAAGTTCTCTAGTGATCCACATTTTATGTACATAGAAAGTTGTCGCGTCCTTTATACAGCGACTGTATATCATTTAATATGCAGTTTATTCTCCATGTCATGGTAGAGCCTTATGCAACTGTGATAACTATACCACAATGCCGCATTTACTACCTGCGTTCTGGCTCAAAGAGATATTCCTCCATATATGCTTCAGGATCAGGCACCAGCAGCACAACAACAGGGCTATGCTAAGCTTATTCAAGCACTTTCCAAAAAGAGGAAAGATTATGGCTATACACTGATGGCGCAACACTCAGTGTTTCATATTTTATTCATTCCTCCAACCAAAACTGCTGATTCCGTCCTGGGTGGGTCATGCCAGCCCCAGGTGCAATGAGTGGTCCAGACTGGTGATGTATTCTCCAGACAACACCCCCCTCTACACTGCACTCACGCTAATCACCGCCTCATTCAAGCGGCATCACCCCCATCACCCAGCAAGGGCACCCACCCGGGTATTGACCGCGTTTAAGCCACACGCTAGATGGTCAGTCGCTTGGCATAGCCTTGCGGGGTAAGAACCAATTGCTGCATTGCAATCGCGCGACTGGAGGGTGAGAAGGGTGAGTGCGCAATAGACAGGGGTGCGAAGCCGGGTGAGAGCGGGCAATTCTCACCCTCCGTCGCGCGCCCACCGCACTGACCCTCTTTGTCGGACCGCGTACTAGAAAGGAATGAACAGTGCTAGATATGGACTCGGCACGGTCTACGTACTTAGAAACGGCGCAACGCATCCTCTATCTACCTCATTTAGGCATTTGGCTTTTCTGTCCAGCGACCTCGCGGCTGCTATGAAACTATGGCTTTCCGTGCCCAAGGAGTCGCTCACTCATAGCCTTTCCTCAATATAGGCAGCCACAAATTATACAAAGGGCGGGGGCGATGTGCAGTGTACGGAAGATATCGTGATGACTTGTAGCAGCAGTTATGCCGTGACTGTCGTTGCCTACCCTCTGCGGCAGTGGCGAGTTCTTTGAAGTTATTCGCTGCGAGATGGACCCATCAGGCAAATTTCATGCAAGTAGACACCAAGAATACCCAG